CTATCTTAATCCTCACGTGTGACAACGCATCTGCATTTTGATTCGCAAGCGAGGATAAATGTAGATGTTTGGTGACCACAGCAACCACTTACCATCAGGTGGACTGTGTGATCGTTTGTCTGTGGACTGTTTGCTTTAAGAATGACCGTTTTGTTATGCGATTTACAACTTTTATATCCAAAATAAAATATGGTTTGGATTTGACTTTTGCGAAAGTCAAATCAATAGCCACAGCAAAATACTTACTAACAAGGTGTTATCGAAAAATGTACACAATGTTAACATATAGTATTAATTAATAAGTGCCCTAAGCATACAAATTTATTAGCAATGTGTTAAACCGAAGTTTTAGTGTGTGACTCTGTCGATTTTAAACAAGTTGTAATTTCAAATCCAACAGATATTAATTCCGTAAGCAAATATTAACTTAACACTGTTAGGGTGCGTATAGATCAAGTAACATGTCGTATAACTTTTGTTTTATAACACATCCACATTATGTAACACTGTTTTTCAACATTGCAACATATAACAATACTGTACACATTAGAATAACAATGCAATATAACAATGTCAGATGACATTGTGCTATGACAATGTCGTTTATTGTCCAGCAAGTTCACGTTATATAACACGTTTTATAACATTTAGCCTCCACATCACTGAAACACGTTTTATTACATCCTATGTTATATAATGTGTACGCACCGTAAGGCACAACAAATCCATCGAACTAAAACGGACCTATATGCAAATAGAAGTAAAAACAATGAATCGAAATAGGCACATGACGATAATTTTTTTTAAATGAACTAACAGTTTCATTACCAACATTAGAATATTTCATAAAAGTCCCAAATATTTAAATAAGAGATTAGAATTATAGCATGGGGTATATTTTCCTTCCTTTATTGATTGTTTAATAATTGAATAGAAGAAAAGATCTAATACTATCTTATTTTTTTCTTATTTAGCAATAACCGTATATATTTACCGAATGTAGACTTTGAGCTAAGGATAAGGTAGTACACTGTTTTCTAATATATATGATATTACCTAGTTCAGGAGACTGTCGCTTTTGTATTTAGAAAAATGACATAATTCTAGGTCCATACAATGTTCGCCTGAGATCCAACAGTGAATAAATACCTTTTAAAGCCCAAAATTACACATAATTATATGTAAGAACAATAAATTGTGGCGGACACTTCTGAAAACATAGGTATTAGCAGTTATTAAAGAGATTTTGAGGTTATGTTTTATTTTTATGAAACATTACTATGTTATTGCCAATGTAAGCAGTTCAGTCTTAGCCTAGCATTTATACGGTAAATAAAACTCAGGTTGTGATAAGGTAAACTTATCGCATAACAAACCAATTGCACAGTGCGCTTAGATTCCGAAAATATTTCAAGGAATGTATTTTTTCAAACGAAACGAAAACGATCTGTCAACGTTATTGAAGTTTTTTATTGGCGTGGCACAATGCTGATTTGGCTAATGAGAGTACAATAGTATTGTTTTTTTTTAAATTTATTTGGATTGCCAACATAAGAAACAGCAATAAATGTTTGGTTACATAACAGTAATATAAATTTTACATGATCAACTGCTCTTATAATTATAGGCAATCACAGCATGCGTTGTATTACACAAAGTTAAACAAATTTTATAAAATTATGTTAACTAAGAACAAAAAGAAAATAAATAAAAGCTGATTTGTACCACTGCAGTTTAACGTGCGTCAACATGCTTAAGTTTGGTCATAAATTGAGTGAGGGTATCATAGTAAATGTCAAGGTCGGGTATATTTTTGGTGTGCTTGTTGTACAGACGAGATATACGGATCACTGGGGAGTCACGACCCAAGTTTGTCCTACAAAATTTGTTCTTAAAAAGACTGCACGGATATCTTGGTATTCTGGATGGTACGTTAAACTGGAATTTGTACAATAAAGCGGCACAGTCTATGTGATTATTTACAATTTTATGTAGGAGTTACATGTCTAAGTGATTCCGGCGTAAAGCAAGGGGTTCTAGTTGAAAATGCTTAATTTTTTCACTATAGGTTTTGATATTTCTTGGAATACCAAAACGGTAGGTTAAGCTACGAATTACTTTCTTTTGAACTTTTTCGATCCTGTCTTTGTGAGTTTTATAAGTAGGGTACCATACTGTGCTGCAATACTCGAGCTTGCTCCTTACAAAACTGTTGTAAAGCTGAATCACAGTTGCTGGTTTTTTAAAATCCCTTGAGTTTCTCAATATATAGCCTAGTGACCTATTTGCTTTCCTAACTATCTTGTCAATATGATCCGAAAACTTCAAATTGCTATCCATCATGACATCAAGATCTCGAATAGTAGTCACTTCTTTCAACTTAGTGCCTGCTATTATGTATTTCGACTGAAATTTATTACGTTTTCTGCTGTACTTAATGTGACAGCATTTCGCAGCATTTAGGAACATTTTATTATTGTTACACCATTCCTGAAGATTACTAATGTCTTCCTGGAGATGTTGGGCATCTGAAGCTGTTGATACCCTTTTCGTGATTTTAAGGTCGTCAGCAAAAAGATATACATCGCTGTGGTTAATCACACGTGTTATGTCATTGACTAAGATGTTAAAGAACAACGGTCCTAAAATCGAGCCCTGGGGCACTCCTGAAAATGCTTCAAATAGCCTCGATTGTTCGCCATCAATTACCACCCTGGAAAAGCGATTTAAAAGGTAAGATTTACACCATTCCAGTAGGTTATCTGTAACCCCAAATAAATGTAATTTATGAAGCAAGATGCTGTGGTTCACTTTATCAAAGGCTTTTGAAAAATCTGTATAGATGGCGTCAACTTGTAAGCCTTGATCTACTTTTTCTTTTATATCAGAAGTGAAGAGAATAAGGTTAGTATTGGTTAACCTTCTTGACATAAAACCATGTTGATTTTCGATAATGTATTTTTGAGTATGCCGATAAATTGAAGAGTGAACTAATGACTCAAATACTTTCGATACTGCTGACAAGATAGATAGTGGACGGTAGTTAACTACTAAGTCTTTTGCTCCATTCTTAAATATAGGTACTACTCTAGCTAGTTTCCATTCATCGGGGAATATGCCCATTTTGAGAGATCGATTGTATAGAAAAGTTAGTGGAAAAGTCAAGGCATCTGCACAGTTAATTAAAAATAGTGGATGTATATTATCTGGGCCTGCCCCCTTTGTGATATCTACCTTTTTCAGTTTATTTTTAACATCCTCTGGTCTAAATTGAATTTCCCGGATAACATCATTTATCATACACATATCACAATTAATTGAATTATTGTCGTTAAGATCTCTTTCATATATTGAAGAAAAATGAGATGCAAACATGTCCGCTATTAGCTTTGTATCCTTAATATTCCTTAATATTATAATAACCCTTTTTATACAAACTTAGTTTAATAAAGTTTTTGAACTTTGAACAGGTCAAACTTTGTATATTTTATGGAATTTTGTTGTAAAAGCGTATACATCGCCCCAAGAATGAATTACTGACTCGATGGAGTCGAGTAACTGGTACTACTAGCTTGTGTCTGTTCCTAGTATTTACAGAATGAATATCACTTATTTTTGTAAAACTACTTTTATTTTTGTGTACGTACATTACATTTTCATAAATGTATTGAGAGGCCAAAGTTAATATATTAATTTCCTTAAATTTTTGTCGCAGCGTCTCTTTAGGCTTTAAATCATAAATTGCTCTTATGGCCCTCTTCTGCAAAACAAATATAATTTCAGTGTCAGCTGCGTGTCCCCATAGCAAAATACCATACGACATTATGCTATGGAAGTAGCTGAAGTAAACTAGTCTAGCTGTTTCAACACTGGTTAAACTTCTAATCTTTTTTACAGCATATGCTGCAGAACTAAGTCTGCTTGCTAGTTTTGATATATGGGGGCTCCATTGAAGCTTCGCGTCTAGTGTGATTCCAAGAAAAATGGTGGTATCTACAAGACTCAGTTTCTCCCCATTTAAAATTACATTAGTATTTAATTGTTTGACATTTGGAGTCACGAATTTCATACATTTTGTTTTAGTGCCATTTAAATGCAAATTATTAACATCGAACCAATTTACTAATTTAGAGATAGCATTATTTACTTCGTCATATTTTAGTAACTGTCGACTTAATTTAAAAATTAAAGAAGTGTCATCTGCAAATAATACTATATCATGGTTATCCCCTTCTATGTAAGGTAAGTCATTAATGTATACAAGAAACAGAAAGGGGCCGAGAATTGAGCCTTGAGGCACGCCCATTTGTACCATCGATCCGGAAGAGCTCATATTGTTAATGACAACTTTTTGCGTTCTCTTACTTAAATATGAAATAATTAATTTAAGGGCATCACTTCTTACACCGTAGTGTTGAAGTTTCCTGATTAGAATATCTGATGATGTATCATGCTTAAAGGTCATGGTATTAGGATATGATGAGCAGTTCTTTCGTAGATTTTTGATGTGTGTCCAAAACTGTTTGGGGTTGGTTTTAATATCTGTTTCTATTGCATTTATGTATTTATTATAGCACTCCTTCATCAGCTTATTACAGTTTTCTCTTAAATATTCAAATTCTATTTGATCTAGTGGGTTTTTTTACTTTTTAATTTTTTTATGGTATCTATATTTTTGTCTAATGAGAGGAGTACCACACAGGATAAGAATCATGAACGGATTTAGTCATAGGAATATGCTTTTCAATTGCATTGTTTAGCAGTTCATAAAATCTTTTTACCATTTTATTAGGATTACTAAAGGAATTAAATTCATCCTCCCATGACACCGATTCTAAATAAGTATTTATAGCGTTATAGTCACCTTTATAAAAATTACGTTTGGTAGGACGTACTTTTCTATTGCTTTCCAATAAGATTTTCATTTTAATTACAAGTGGAGGATGAAACTTGTCAATATTTCTTACAGGATCTTGTGTCTCCACAACATCCAAGACTTCTTAATTGCAAAGTATCAAATCTAATATCTTATTTTTTATGTTTGTTACACAGTTAAATTGTTTTAAGTTATTGAGACTTATAAAATTAATAAATTTACACAAAAGTTCATTGCCACCAAATCCTGATGGTAACATATGATTAAAGGTGTCGTTTCTATGATTGCCTAGCCAAGTTATACGACTCAAATTGTAGTCACTGGCAATAAGTGTGTACTCCCTATCAGTTCGGGATCCCAGTATACCATTTGCTTTATCTATAAAAATGTCTAAAGTATGTTTAGTGACTGAAGGGGGTAAATACACAGCGCATAGTAGTATTTTAACTGGGTTTTTGGTAGAGTTAGGTGTAACCGACACCCAAACATCTTCACAATCAGTTTCCCACTCTACGATACGCCTTGACGCGAGACGTTCGGATACAGCAATAAGCACACCTCCGCCCTTTTTCAACCCTGATAGAGGAGAGGTTTCACGGTCTCGTCTGTAAACAACATAGCCACTGGCAAAAATTTCAGCATCATAGCAACCGTTATTGAGCCAGGTTTCTGTGGATATATAAACATCGTATTTGCTATTAATAATATGTTGACGTACCTCTACTGCATTTGTGTTTAAGCCTCTCACGTTTTGGTAATGATGATATGCTTAAATGATCTAACAACATACAAGTTAATCAAACAAAACAGATTATACAAAATAAAAATAAAAAAACAAAAATACCTCTATACACTAAATTTACTATGACAACTAATTTAATTCAGACAATTCTTGGATGTTTTTTATTAATTTGTACTCAGATATTTCAGTCTTACGCATAAATATTCTTCCCCCCCTGACCCAGACAAATTTGTAGTTGAGTTCTTTTGCCTTAGTACTCGCTGCAGCATGTATTTCCTTTTGGGCGGGTGACAGATGTTCAACGACAAATACTGGCTGCTTGTCACCACCAATGCCGAGATGACTACTATTGAGTTTTTCACTCTGACTCTTAGCAGTTTTGTTAAATCTATGTGTAGCAGCTAAAAAAATATCACGTAATCTTGGGGAACCAAATTTTATTACAACAGATCTAGGGCGTCGGCTATCCCTATTTACTTTAGCTACTCTAGTGCACAGTTGAATATCTGATTCCTCCAACTTGCAGTTAACTATGTTGGCAACTTGTTTAACAATTGTGATTAAATTTTCAGACTTATGTTCAGGGATATTTTGTATTTCGAGATTGCTGGCCCTGGAATGTTGTTCAAGTCGAGTAAGTCTGTAGTTAAGGTTGATGATTGTACTTCGCAGTGTTGTATTTTCAGATTCTAATATATTAATTTTCTTGCAATTGGATTGCACTTCGTTTTGAATATGTTCTAGTTGACTTTCAACTTTGGACATAGACTCAGATATTTGATTGAATTTATCGAGAATTTCCTTTGTTTTCAACTCTAACTGTTTAATTATGTTTGTTTTGAAACTTTCTAAAATACATTCAAGCTCTTCTCTAACAATTTGCCGTATGCTATCGGCTGATACTTCCGCGTTTTGTACTGTACCCCTTCTTAAGTTTACATTTGTTGAGAAGTCCTCACTGTCCGACTCAGGTTGACTTGTAGTTGCTTTAATTGGTGTGTCAGTATTGTCAAATTTTGGTATCTTACTACGGCAACATGGACAAGACCATTTAGATTTGAATTCCTCCGGTAAGTCTTTTAATGATTTTTTTATGTTGACACAGTTAAGATGATATTTAATTTTACACGAGTAACAGCTTAATGTATTAGGTGTTGACGTCTGTCTTTCACAACATCCAAATTTCACTCTTGCTTGTGGCATAATTGCTTAAATGAGCTAAAAGTAGTATACTTCGTTTTTGTCGTCATATAAAACCGAACGCAGCACAAAAGCAATTGAAATTACTCATTTGAACGATGCACAAAGCAATATGATAATATTATTTTATGACTCACACACAGCAACGAGACGCGGTAACTCGAAGCGATGCATACAACAATCGTTATTTGACTTAATTTCGAAATTAATTTGTCTGTTAACTTCGAATACTTTATAGGTTGAAGTAAGTTATTTACACTATAAGTTAGGTCACTTAGTTAACTGTATGTTTATGCAAAAAATTAGACGTTTTAACAAAACTTTACCACTGTATTATTTATTACTTCACGAAGTCAATAAAATATGTCTATATTGTTTAACTACCCGAACCAGTATGTTATTTTAAATATGCAGATAATTTTACTGTATCGTTAACGTTTTCATAATATATTTGAGTTTCTAACAACTGAAATTATGTATATAGTATTGTGCGATTGGCCAAATCACAGAGGCCCATAAACGCAGCAAATTAGTATTAAAAAAATAGGTTCAAAATTCAAAATCTAAAAGGTCCTTTTTAATTTGATTTCACAATTTAGAAGTGTCCGTTACAATCTATTGAATATTATCTAATGCATAATTAAGGATAAGAATTTTGGTAATTGTCAAATATATATTGATTCTTAGGTGAGTTTTTACAAAGTCCTTTGGTGGCTTTTCTCCTGAATCTGAATGCAGTTTACATACATATTTTATTATATAGTATAATGTTAACATGCGAGCACGCAGTCCACCTGATGAAAAATTGAAGCTGTGCCGCATAGACATTTACATTTATCGTCGATTAAGAATCAAAATGCAGATGCGTCATCACCCTTGAGGACTAAGACGGAATGCCTCGTTCAGTAATTTTTTTTATAGGATCGAGTGACAAACGAACACACAGACGATCTGATGTTAAGTGGCTGCTGTGGCCCATAGACATCTACATCTATCCTCGTTTGCGAATCAAAATGCAGATGCGTTGTCACTCGTGAAGACTAAGATGGAATGCCTCTTATCCAGTAAAAAGGGTCTCCGGTTCTCTACACTCACCATACAAAACACAGCAGTGTTAAGCTGGTATTCTGTGAGAGCGTGGTCCTTCCCCGGTCGAGCCGACCCATTCGTGCTATAACTATACTACTAATATAGCTGCAGCATGGCACGTAAAATAATGGTCTCCGGTTCTCTACAATCACCATACGAAGCACAGCAGCATTGTGCTTCCATTTGACGCTGGTTTTCTGTGAGAGCGTGATTTAACGCCGGTCGAGCCGACCCATTCGTGCTGCAGCCATAACATGTATAGTTTCATTGAATTTTTCTTCTTTAAATCAAAATTGTCATAATTATAATTAATATAATCAGGCGTTACTATGCGGAAATCCATTATAATGGGGTTGTTATAAACTAATTTGCTTAATTCCGCGTAAAGAAAGAAAATGATGTGTCCTGCCCAGTCTTAAGGGGACCTCCCACCCTCCCTCAATCGCGGGCACTATACCCGTCGCCATCAATCCCAGTACTACCATCCCCAGCACCACCACACTAGGCACGCCACACCACTCTCGAAAATACGACACGTGTTTCGCCTCTACACGAGGCATCATCAGGTGTAGTAGACTCTGCGGAACCTTGCCGCTAAGATCTTAACGGCCAGCCTTCGCAGAGTTCCAACCCCATTATTGTCACAATTATGTTGTTTTTCAACCGACTTAAAAAGAGTTTCTTAATTCTCTATGTTTTAATTTAACTTAATTAATAATAATTTTTTTAATTAACATAACATACATATAACATAATCACTCACGCCTGTCACCCAGAGGGGTAGGCAGAGATTATGGACTTCCATTTGGCACGACCCTGACACACCTCTCTCGTTTCCTCCACATCCATATACCTACGCATACACGCTCGTCGGTTAAAGGTACTCTTGATATGGCCCATTTTTAATATATCGCCAATTTGGTCGATAAACTTTCGCCTAGGGCGACCCTTCCCGACTATGCCGTTCACCTCTGCAACATAAATTTGCTTTGTCACTCTTTCCTCATTCATTCTTTCTACATGGCCAAACCACCGAAGCATTCCTTTCTTAATCCTGGTCACAACATCATCTTGCAAACCGCAATCTTCTCTTATTAAACAATTTCTCACTCTGTCATTCAGCTTCAGCCCTAACATACTCCTTAATAACCGCATTTCTACAGCATTTATTCTACTCTCATGCTTCTTCTGCCACACCCAACTTTCACTACCATACATTAAAGTAGGTACTAACACAGCATTGTGAATTGCCATACGTGCCGTTTTGGACACATTCTGACTTTTCACAATAGAGTGTAGAGCCCCATTCACTCTATTTCCTGCATTCACTCGTCGTTCTATATCCTTATCATATCTACCATCCCTGCTAAACACACATCCCAAATATACAAACGCATCTACTTGCTCTACCAACTCCCCTTCTATTCTTATTTCACATATCGTTTTGCTGTCTTCTGTTTCAAAAACCATAACTTTCGTCTTACTTGCGTTCACTTTCATTCCCTTTTCTTTTAATGTCCTGTTCATTAATGTAACCATCATTTGCAACTCGGCTGCCGAAGATGCAAGTATGACTTGATCATCGGCGTACAAAAGGCATTTGACGGTTAACTCACTCATTCTTAACCCGCATTCTTCTACTTTCAAATTTTCCAAACAACTGTTCATAAATAGGTTGAACAACCACGGGGAAGCCACACAGCCCTGTCTGACACCTTTATGGATGCCAAACCAGTCCGAGTAGGCCCTGTTAATCCTGACACAAGCACTAGAGTCCCTATATAGAGACTTCAATGCCTGTATCAGACCAGCGGTCAACCCAAATGAGTTCAGTGTTTGCCATAACACATCCCTGTCCACTCTGTCATAAGCCTTCTCCAAGTCTATGAACGCACAAAAAACTTTTTGGTTTTTGGCCAAAAACTTCTCCGTGATCATGCGCATGGAAAAGACCTGATCCGTACATCCCATTCCCTTTCTAAATCCCGCTTGCACATCCCAAATTTTTCCATCAGTTTCTTTCATAACTCTTTCAATTAGTACCTTAGCATACAGTTTTCCCACAATGCTAAGAAGGCTGATACCACGGTAGTTTTTACAGTCCTGCTGTGATCCTTTTCCCTTATATATTGGGACTATCACGGCTTTGCACCAGTCTCCCGGTACCCGCTTAAGTTCCCAACATAAATTAAACAAGGTGTACAGCAGGTCTGCCACCACTCCTTCACCAGCCCTTAGCATTTCGAGTGATACGTTACGTACGTACGAGTTTTTTAATTAAGTTAAATTAAAACATAGAGGCAACGGGCAAAATTATTTTACTTGGGCTAAACTTTTAACTATAACGTAAAAAACTCAATATACATTTTCTACGCAGTGCGAAGCACTGATAGGCGTTTTGTATTTGGGTAAAAATTTGGGTGCGACTGGGCATTGTGTGAAGTGACATCATTTCGCATTTGTAACGGACCAGATTGACAATAAAAACTGAATGTTTTGTTAAATTATGTTTTCATTTGCCTTTTCTGTAAATTCAAAAGAAGTTTTTAATACTTATGTATTTTTTTTCAGGAATATCAACAGTATAGTATAATGAACATAATTACATCACTTCACAAGTCCACTTCCGAACATGCGCTTCCTTCAAGAAATGCCACAGATTACGGTCCTTAACCGGATCCAAATGTGAATCTAAACTATCTAGGGACCCATTCAAATACACTCGCCTGCCAAGTTAAGGCAAATATGCCCCTATAAGTCAGATGGAGGTGGCTGTTTTCAGCAGTGGACTTGTATAGGTTGCAAAGAAAATGATTTATGAGCAATTATTTAATTATTTTTGCAGTTTACTCTTTAGGAATCGATTTTCATGTTATATTGCCTGTGGTACACAAATAAGATGGGGAGCGAAATCGAGTGTTAACAAAAAGTGAAGTTGTAATGTTGCCTCTTCGCGCAACGCATTCGCGCATTTTTTGCTTAACACTTGTCCCACCATCTACATCATAGGTCATTTTAGCAAACCAATTGATTGACTTGACTGTCAAGGTGTTACTTAAATTAAGCGCTAGATGGCCTAACTTAAGGAGTAAACTCCAGTCGTGCGTCGGAAGTACACACGATTCTTTTCAGCTTTAAAAGTTGGTTTTTATTTCTTATAATTTTTTAGCAAAAGTTTAATCCTTTGATCCCTTTGAGTGAATTAAGGTATTCCACAAGCTGAAGATAACAACAAGAAATCCCTGCAAGCAAATCCACTAAAAAAAAAAATCCCTGTTTTTCCACTTTCGTCAGTGGAAAATTTTATTCAAATTTAAATGGGGCCGCTCTTGAGGCATAGCTTATAAAATAAAATAAAAACATGAAAGTTCATAATTTGTGAAGGTATCGCTTACTAAATACAGTGGAATTGATAACCTTCCTCTTTTTTAAAAGTCAGCACAAAATTATCTTTAACCAATGCAGATAACAATTTTGTTTTACTTTTATGTCAATTCATCAATCTTGGCGGCTATGAACACGAATATAATCCCCTATTATAATTTCCATTTTCAGAAGGTTATGACAATTTCTTCCCTTTTGTTATCGTTTCATCCCTTTAGACCCAAAAGCATTGCCCGTTGTTTTCGAACGTAATTAAATAATTTCATTTAAGCGATTTATTTCGTGAATAAACCTATGCCGTCTTATTACATTTATTTTTCATTAGTCTTAAACTTAGAATGGAATGTGTTTCACGAAAGATGTCCCGCGGAAATATGCGAACCAAAATGTAAATTAGGGAAATTTGTAAACAAATGTCAAAAAACAATGGCCAAGTTTCTATAGGAGCTGGACTAGACTTTTATTTTTCATGTCCTAAAACAAGCTATAGCTAGATTGGTTTGTTTTTATGTTGTTAACACTATCCCATT